CAATCTCATACTGTTATCTGATTTGTTACAGTGGTAATGTGTTTACCTAACCGTTGCCTTGCAATAACACGGGTGGATGCACAGACAGCTAGTTGATCTCATAAGCCTATTTCTGTTTAACAATATCATAATTTCTCTGATATAATTCCAATTATCTAGCAATTCCAACTGAAATCTCACATCTGAAGCACTGCACAATCGCGGGCGGGGCAGTTTTCCACCAGCCTCTCGTAAATCAATAGGTGTTTCGTATTGCCAAGAGCCCAGGTTTCAACTTTCAAATATCACACGGGAAACACCGTTTTACACAGCATAAGACATAAATGCGGCGTTATAATGCCTCACATTTAGGCATAATTACGTCCAACAGTGGCAGCACCATCTAAGGCACGAAATGTTTCTGTTCGTTCAAACACTGGGATCGTGGGTTCGAGTCACATTCGAGGCATGTATGTTTATTTGCGTTTGTTCTGTTTGTGTTGTCCTGCGTAGGTAGCGGCCTTGCAGTGGGCTGATCACCCATCCAAGGAATCTTATCAACTCTCTATAAGAACCATAATTTCAGAATTAATTCTGAAATGGGACAGACCATATAGCCTAATCCATTAATGTAGAACAAGATATATTTCAAACAAGTAAACCAATAATAACAAATAACAAGTAAATAAATGTCTAATAGGTGAATTAATTAAATTAATGATGTGATCAGTTGGAAATTAGGTAAACATTTGTCTGATAAATTTCCTATCCAGAATAGTCTAAAACAAAGGGATGCTTTATCGCCACTCCTTTTCAACTTTGCTTTAGAATATGATTAGGAAGGTCCAGGAAAACCAGGTGGGACTGAAATTAAACGGGACACATCAGCTGTTGGTCTATGCCGATGATGTGAATCTACTGGGTGATAATATAAATGCCATAAAGAAAAACACACAAACTTTAATTGACGCAGTAAGGAGGTTGGTCTAAAAGTAAGCACAAAGAAAACTAAGTATACGTTGCTAGTTCGTCATCAAAATGCAGGGAAAAATCAAAACATAATAATAGGAAAAATATGGTTTGAAAATGTGGCACAATTCAGATATTTGACAACGACGATCATAAATTAAGAGGAGATTGAACTCGGGTAATGCTTGCTACCATTCAGTCCAGAACTTCTGTCTTCTCGTCTGTTGTCCAAAAACATAGAAATTAGAATATACAAAACTATAATTTTGCCTGTGATTCTGTATGGGTGTGAAATTTTGTCTCTGACATTAATGGAAGAACATAGAGTAAGGGTATTTTAGAACAGGGTGTTGAGGAAAATATTTGGACCGAAGAGAGATGAGGTGACGGAAAAAACTGAATAATGAGGAGCTCCATAACTTGTACGCTTCTCCAAGTATAATTAGAATGATCTAGTCAAAGGAGAATGAGATGGGCAGGGCATGTAGCACGAATGGGGAAAGGAGGAATGCATATAGGATATTGGTGAGAGAGCTGGAAGGAAGGAGATCAGTAGGAAGACCAAGACATAGGATGATGGACAATATTAAAATGGATCTTAGAGAGATAGGATGGGATGGTATGGATTGGATTGATCTGGCTCAGGATAGAGACAGGACGAGGGCTCTTGTGAACACTGTAATGAACCTTCTGGTTTCATAAAATGCTGGGAAATTTTTAGGTAGCTGCACATTTGGCGCTTCTCAAGAAGGGCTCATGAGTTTGTGAGAATGGCAGATGTAATAAAAACTGGCTCAGGATAGAGTCAATTAACGAGCTTTAGTCCTGTTGGCATTGGACCTTCGGTTCCTACTGCAAGCGTGTTCGTTGTTTTAAATGTGCATTTGGCTCCTAACGAGAGCCTGTGAAATCTCACACATACAATTCACTTCTCCAAGATGCAATTAATGTTATCACTTCAGCTTGGTCTTGGGTTTCCAAGTGATCTCGAGTACTGCGTTCTCTTCACATTTCTGTCTTTCACTCGAACAAAACTATGCATATCCGCCTAATATAATTCTCTCAGCGTTTCGCTCTCCCCAACCCTTTCAAACTCAGGAGTGAGGGTCCTTAGAAATATCTCCATAAACTGACAGGCGACAATGTAATTTGAAATACTTAACTTCTGTTCTTTTATACAAAGTGCAAGATCACAGACCTTATGAAATGAATTGCGGCAGACATTCCCGGGTTTCTTTTGTTCTAAATTAACCCCTTACACCATTCTGTCACTGCTCTTGGCGCGCACTAGCAACTCCCGTAATTTTTTCCCATGCCTGTCCTTGAAAGTTATACGATTTGGTTCATTTCTCTGGCAAGAAACAATTAGAGTAAAGAAAAAACAAATTCCGTTATTTTAGTCCGCAAGCGAACTATACCGACCGAGCCGGTTGTAGGCGAAGTTTAGTGCCAATTTTTGCGGACAGAGGGTGCCGCGTGGTCAGCGCAACGAATCCCCACGGTCGTTAATTTCGATTTTCTAGGCCTGAGCCGCTATTTCAAGGAAATGGCTCCTCAGTTATCATCTCGAGGCTGAGTGGACCCCTTTCCAGACCCACTACTTCTCAGAAAAATCTGGTAGCGCCGGGAATCGAACCAGGACCTCTGGATTTGTAGGCAGGAACGCTGACCATTAGACAACAGAGGCGGTCAATTAGAGTAGTTTTGCAAAACGGCAAAACGTAATTGCAGTTCATTTCGTGCACCGGAAATTAACTGACAAGCAACTAAATAAAATCAAATTAATTATATTTCATGAATAACCTCAAACTATATTGATCCCTTGGGAACCGAAATAGCGTAATAGCTCCAATGTACAGGTCAACAATATTAATTTAGAAGCGTGATAGATTTCGGATTTGAAAACTGAGAAATTCGCTAATGGTCATACAAGAAAATAATGATAGCTGTGATATATTTTGGAGGGGTTGTGGGGGTGTATGTGGCGATAAAAATCGTGGAAATATTGATAATAGTAGGTGGTATATTAATGGAATGTTGGCAGCATTGACTGCGATGTTGATAGCACTGATTTCGTGGCTGGATATGCTGACCCTGCTGACGGAGTGCTGATGTGATGGATGGTTGGCGAGTGTGATACTGAGACGGTTGTTGAAGTGCTGATGTAATCTGGCGCTACTAATTGTAGTTGCGTTATATTTTTAGTCTACTTGCATTATTTTGAAACAAGAAGTACTGTGAAGAACTAATTGCCTACTTTTTTTGACTTCATAAAAACGAAAAAAATATATGGGGATAAACAGACACAAAGACAGCAGGGTGATATCATAAGCTACCCGAAATATTAGGGAAGATACACAAATAGAGAAACAGCAAAGTGATGTCATAAGCCTCTTTTCAGAGTAAGGCGTAAGCTCCTATGATGTATAAGAACGTAAAGCTATCCCTGTAACAGACCGCGAAGGCCCATAAGGTTGTGAGACGTCGAGTCTTCCACATTTTCTTTAGACAATCGGCTCACAGATGGCAGTAAGATTGTCAGCCTTATGCGCCCTCCGCCCTTTACCCCCCAGGAAGATTCCTGGTGCTCATTTCTGTTAGAGGTTGAGTCGACCCCTGGGCCATAGTGCGGCTAGAAGGATTAGGTAAATTGAAAAAAAAATCCACCTCATCTGGTCTCGAACTCGTTATCTTCCGGATTGTAGCATAGTGCCTCAAGAAACTACGCTATCGCGTGCCCCACCCGCCATGTATTGTATTCAAAATTCTGAATACAGGCTAAGGAGGAAAGAGGAGCTATCTCGAAACCAAAAACACTTTCAGTTTTGACTTTGTAACAAGAAAACATCCCGGTCGCGGTAGCCGAGCGGTCTATGGCATGTACTGTCTTCGCTCGCTCGGAAGCCGGGATCGTGGGTTCGAATCCCACTCAGGGCATGGATGTTTGTGCGAGTTTTTCTGTGTTTGGCTACAGGTAGAGGCCTTGAGACGCGCTGATCACTCGCCAAAGGAGTCCTACCGTATGTGTAAGATCTAGAAAAACCGAAGTGAACGGAGTTCATGGAGGTAGGCCTAGACCCAGTGGGGCTGTAGTGCCAAGGAAAAAAAAAACCCAGGAAAACATGCCTGATGCAGGAGTTTTAATTTCTAAATGAATTAATTCTTTCAAATTTATAATTACGAAAATCAACTATTTCGGATTAAAGCTGATAATTAGGAAACAAGTGAACATTAAATAAATCTGTTTGAAAAGTTAATTAAAAGTTTACATTAATTTAATAACTTTGGAACTTTAAATTCCAACATTACGTGGTTATCGTTTCGTCGCATGTTAATTAAAGTGTTGTGCCTCTGACTAAGTTCATTAAAAACAAATCAACTCTCCAACATCCCAAATTGTGAAATATTCGGGCGTCTATTCTTGCTGTGCTGTTCGAGTTTAACAATCATCCCTGAGGAATCTCATACGAACTGAATCATTTCGTTGCCTAATGCCCTTTTCATCATACATGTTGGTATTTTTTTCGTGATATGAATAACGCGGAACCCGATCCTGTATTAACTATTTAATAGAATTTAACCACTCCCCAATAATTACAACCCTGATAATACGTTTTCGATGACTGTAGGTACAAAGGCAATAAGGTTGTAGCCTAGCAGTGGTGCAACTTAATGGTCGGCTGCAACTGATCTTGAAAATACGAGTATAGGGTGGATGCGTCCTTCCGATGTATGCGGTTCAACACAGGGACGAGTAAAGAGCCTTTGACAACGAGGAAATAAACGTGCTGGTTCCGTAAATAGCGAGAAATTCTCTAAGTAGCTTAACGACTATCAGATTCTGAAGAAAGATTGTATTTATGAAGTTTGTATCAGCCGTAGAGGAATAAAGTAGAATCATCTCACACTTATGACCGGATATCAAGTTTTCAAAATCCCCTTGTGGACCGGATATTTTTACCAGTATTGTTGAAAAAACATGCCTTCACATAATCAGCTATAATTACTAATCTAGAGAAGATATTATAATGAAGTCTGATATGAGAACTCACCAAAGTTGTTAGTACTTCATCCTGGCGTGGTACTTCAAGAATCTCTTTGATGCAGGGGGGAATTTTCGTGTGTTGCTGATATATCTGGCGTCTTACGTTTTCTGTGAGCCACACACACTCTTCAGGGTCTCTGTGGATAGTTCTTTCTTCCAGCTCCTACAACTGCCTGAAGTTGGTGATTCTTCATGTCTCCCGATGGTCTCCCAACACCATCTCTTCTTGGTGCATGGGGGGTTGGAGAGCTAGGATCATCTTCACCAGCGGCTTCTACGTCATCTTTCTCATGTGTCTCTCCTCAGGTCATTCCTGCCCAATAATCTGCCGCCTCTAGTAGAAATGTTTCGTCCTGTGTTCTCCAACTTGTATACTCGAAAAGAATTGCATAATGCACAACTGATAAGCCAAGGCACGAACATTTTGGTTCAGCTTATGTTTTTATATTATGGTTCAATATGATAAAGACTGGTCTGCTCTGTTGACACTCTTCATGAACTTGTTGTACTGAATTACAGAGGTTGGCTCTTTTATCCTGTCTCCAAATTTGTTGGTGACCTCTCCAATTGTGTCATTATATACTGTGTTAATCATGCGAACCTCCCTCTTATCCTTCGAGATGTGCAGAACGTCCCCTCTTCGAGGACAGACAGTGTCAACCATTTGTAGTTTTTACGGAAGTCAGCCAATGACTTTGTAATTCCACTATGGGCCCTGTTTATTCCGTAAACTCTTCTCTTCCGTGGGAGTAGAGTTTCTGCAATTTCAACGCTATTATAATTGTTATCCTGGTAAACATGGTGCCATTGGCCGAGGTTAAGTTTCCGGGACAGAAAATTTGATCTCTGCTAGTTTCTTGCCTTCTGCGGTATATACACGTATTTCCATATTGACAATATAGCCTATAGTGGCCTCACACACAGTACGGACCAGTAGTCCATACTGGGTTTACCAGGGTTATATGTCCTGAACCTGAGGTACCCTCGCCATGTGGTCATCGACTCGTCAAGCAATAGTTCTTGTAGTGGTTTGTAGCGTTTCCAGAATTTTCAGTCAGGTTATCTAAAATTATACTGATTTTGTACAGCCTTCTTCATCAACCAAGGTGGAATTGTCACTGTAATGTCAAAAGTTCCAAATTTGCTCAAATTTGTTTCTGCTCATTAGCTTATCAAAAATTGGATTTTTAATTAATTTATTGGTACTCCAATAATCTGTACTTTTAAACTTCTTGTCATGACTCGTGAAAATGATTATTGCAAGAAACTTCTTCATATCTGTAATATTAACATCTTTCCATGCTAATGACCTTAAGGAGTTTTTGTGTTTGTCTGCATATTGAGAATGGTATACATTTGATTTTTCTATAAGAATTTCTAGAAAATCATTTCCAAGGAAGCGGTTCACTACTTCTGAAAAACTGATAAGGCCATTGGGTGTAAATGTGAGAGCAATGTTACCTTGAAACTGTTCTAAATTTCTTAAATCATTACTTTTATTTCAACCATCATCAACGTCATTATCTTCATCAATGTTTACATTTGAATCTCTAACCTCTATTGCTCCCCTTTTCTGTCTTCCTGTGACGCTGAGGGCCCAACATCACATCGTCGTCATCATCATCATCATCATCAATACTAATTTTGTCACTTTCACAGTCACTTGGAACATGTAACAGCGTATCTGCATGTAATTCTTGCATAATTTCATCGTCTAGCAAACTCTCCCTATTACCACGTGCCATCTTGAAACTAGATTAGACGGAAGGTAGAAAAGCAAGACCTACGATATTAAAAAACTCTGTAAAAAACAATGTGTACATAGACATGTAGAATCATTATAATCAACGTATGCATAGTTAGAAGTTGAATAAATCTCCGTTAGATGGCAGATTAATACGGGTAACTGTGGTGCTGCAAAAAAAAAGCACGTAACGTAACCCGACAAAAAGTGTTGCGTTCATATCGCTAGCCTGACCAATAACTCAGCAAATGTACGTAGGTCTGTCTCGCTTTGAACTAAATCTGTTGTGTACTGCAATGGGATCCCGTTATGAAGCATTGCGCAACACTTAAAAGCTTCGTACATTAGAGCAAATGTCTGTCAGGAGATTAATAAATGGCATTTATCTTGGCTTCCTCGAATTATGACTGATTCACAACTCTCATCTTGTGACTTACACATAAAAATAGGTAAAAAAGGTGAAGGTGTCCCAGTGCTTAATTAGTTAAGCACTATATCATAATGTCATATGATGAAATGGCGGTGCAATTCCACCTTTATTGATCTTGACACTATATGTTGGTGAGTGGTCAGCTTCACGCCACTGCCGCGTTACCCTCGGAGAAAGTGCACCCGGTATCCATGGGATAGGAGGCTGTATGGACCCCAGAATCCGTCTGGACGCTGTGAGGCTTACATACGTGCATATCATATTAGTACTTTCTTTCTTTGTCACTCACTCATGGATCTGAGCCCTTCTTGAGGAGCCGCCAATTCTGCAGCTACTCAAGAATTTCCCAGCATTTTATGGAACCAAAAGGTTCATTACCGTGTTCACAAGAGCCCTCCACTGGTCCCTATCCTGAGCTAGATCAATCCAATCCATACCATCCCATCCTATCTCTCTAAGATCCATTTTAATATTGTCCACCCACCTACGTTTTGGTTTCCCAGTGGTCTCCTTCCTTATGGTTTTCCCACCATCATCCTATAAGCATTCCCTCTTCTACCCGCATTCGTGCTACATGCCCTGTCCACCTCATCCCCCTTGACTTGATCATTCTAAATATACTTGGAGAAGAGTACAAGTTACGAAGCTCCTTATTATGCAGTTTTCTCCAACCTCCTGTCACCTCATCTCTCTTCGGTCCAAGTAATCCAGGAAACTAATCTTATACTTCTCGCGTGCTGGGCAGAGAAAGTTTTGATGAAGTTCATTAAGTTAAGCCGTGGTGAATCAGTCATTTTTGCCCTCTGTTAACAGTAGCGTTTTATCAGACTAGGGTTGAGGACAAATGAAAATACATTTTTGCTTGTAAGAAGCGTGGGATCAGAGGTGGGAGTTATGTGATAGCAACTTCATCTTTGTGGTGATGCTAACCTGTTCATCACGAGGCATTCCTCACGAGAAGTGTGGTGCCCTAGTTGCCTGTCCAGACTCTGTCTTGATTTCCCTTGTGGATCGAAAGTTTGTTGAGCGTTACTTACCTTTATGTGTCCCTTGAGCCTGGATTTGGGGATCCTGCAACAATCAGTGTCACCCAGAAGCCCAGCAGTCACACCTGACTCCCCGTCCTGACTCTGGCTTTGCATTCTAACGATCTGCTTGTGTAACTCTGTGCGGGTCTGTTCTCTGTTACCGTTTGGGTGCAGGTATTTAATTACGTGTAATTACTCTAAATAAAATCTTAAGTCTACAGCGAGAAAGAAATTAACAATATGCCAGTGTATGTAGCTGATTAAAGAATATACTTACATGCACACTCATACAGGGCGGGGGGCAACAGGGTCATTTGGTCCAGGGTCCTGACATGGAGCGCCAAAATGAGGTAAGGTAAACTTAAAAGGTAAAGTTATCCCTGTAACAGGCCGTGAGGGCCCTTAGGGTTGTGAGATGTTCAGGCTCACACATCTTGTAGACAATCGACTCACAGATGGCGGCAAGGTTGTCAGCCCTACGCGCCGGCTGTCCTTTACCCTCAGGAAAATTCCTTGTACTCATTTCTGTTAGAGGATGAGTCGACCCCAGGGCCATAGTCCGGCTGGAAGGATTAGGTAAATTGAAAATAATCCAGCTCATCGGAACTCAAACCCGTGACCCTCTAGCTTGTAGCATAGTGCCTCAACCAACTATGTTGCCGGATGCCCCAAAGTAAACTTAACTTTATACATTCTGGTCCATTACACTAGTAAACTAAATTATAAAATAATTGTTAACACCGTTAAGATGGTCAGCTGACCGCAATGTAAGGGCAAGAAATACCTACAAATTGAAACACGCTAAACGGTGTTAACAATTATTCTATAATATAATGTAAGGTAAATTAAAGTTGTCTTAATTTATTAAGCACCACTTCATGAAGGCTTGTGGGGAGCTGAGCTATAGCTTCACCATTCTGGATCTGAGCACTAGATCTAGGTGAGTGGTCAGTTTCACGCTCCCGTTGCTTTAACTCAGATGAAGTAATCCTCGGTACTCGTTGGCTAGGAGGCTGGATCGGCCTCAGAACCTGTCATGCCCATATTCGGAAGTCGAACCCCGGCCTTCCGGATGGTAGTCCGTTGCTATACTGACAGAGCTATCCCGGTACCTGCCACCAAATGAGCTCTTATTTAATTTAGGAAATTTAATCATTCAAAATTATATGTCAAATAACAGAGTAAGTTTTAAATTAATGTAAATCATTTCTATTATACAATTTAAAATTTATCTGAATAAACGATATAAAATCTCATCTTTAAAGTATTCACTAAATTTATTTATATTTTTATTTGGCTTTCAGAGTGAGTTGGAGGTCCCATACACGGGTATGTAACTGGCCCGGGTTCCATCTCACTTCTCCCAGGCTCTGTCTGCTTTCTTTTAAAAGTATCCATCTCTCCAGAATTTTTCAAGTGATTAAAGTCAGATGTTTCTACCGGCTTTCAATTTAAACAATTTCCCGTAAAACCATCAACGAGATCTCTCCTAGTACATTGCACTATATTGGTTTATGCGGAGATGATGACTTGTGTTGATATCAGGTTCAGGCAATAATGCAAGAGCACTTCGCAACGTAGGTTGGCTTACTGAGATTCCGAAGGACCGAAGCTGTTACGGGGAACTGGATTATCGGGGTCCGCGTGTCCCCTCCCGAGTTTCCTGGCTGGAATAAGAACATTAACGCAGTGGACACAAACTTCCTCTTGTTGTCTCAGGTATTGTCGAGAGCGTCACGTCTAAACGCTGTGTTCATTTAGTGTTCCCCGTTTAAACTCTTTATCAGTGGGATGTGTATGTATTGGAAGTGCTTGTAAAATTTACTTCTCCTTCGGGGGCACGAAACTGTAATTGTCCAGGCTCACAGCCCTGACAGAGGTCCTCTATTTTATATGAAGTTGTATTAAGTAGGCCCTGTGTAATTTTATATAAAGTTAGACGATATAATAGACGAACATAGTGTACACATAGGAGAAATAAAGTACTAACAAAACATTCTGGTCGTGTGCCTCGAGAATCAGCACGAGTACTAGCCGGAAGAAGCAGGAGTAGACGACCGGATATTATAGAAACTGGTGGAACAAATGAACCTGACGACTTCCTGATAGATTCAAAACCCAATCGCGTAGCCCTTAGCCAAATTGTATTTCACACATTAAATAAAAGTGAGAGATGAATTTTCTACAAAATTAATATTTTTATTTACAAATCATGGACTCTGCTTGTGCAGACTAAATGCCCTCCTAATGCCCTATTTTAATTCACAGTAATGAGAGAAATAAATTCAAGATGAGAGGAACTCTAGCGGCCCTGTTTAAATATCTGGAGATAATGTTCTTCTCGTTGGTAAGATGATGCAGTTCTGACTGGTTAATACATAAATAAGCAGCAGAAGTCCATAAAATTTTCTTTTCCTCTCTATGGCTGTACAGCTTTTCGGTTTCTTAATTCTACACAGAACTGGTAGGACTCCTTGGATGGGGGATAAGCCCTTCGCAAGGCCACCACTTACGCACAGAAAAACACAAACAGAGAGTAAACACACACAGACATCTGTGCTCGAGTGCGATGCGAACCCAAGACCCCAGTGTTCGAGCGAGCCAAGGAATTTCATGCCTTAAACGGCGCGGCCACTGTGATCAGCAAGTCCATCCGGTTAACTAGCTTCATAGGAGCAAGTAATGGATGAAATGCCGGTCACGGTAGCCGAGCGGTCTAAGGCATGCATTGTCTTCGCTCATTTGGAAACCGGGATCGTGGGTTCGATTCCCACTCAGGGAATGGATGTTTAGTTTGTGTATGTGCGTTTCTCTGTGTTTGTATACAGGTAGAGGCCTTGCGACGAGCTGATCACCCGCCCAAGGGGTCCTACGCAATGTGTAAGATCAAGAAAAACCGAAGTGAACGGAGAAGTTCATGGAGGTAGGCCGAGGCCCACTGGGGCTGTAGTGCCAAGGGAAAAAGAATGGATAAAACACGTAAAGGAAAACTTTAACTTACTTCTTTTCAACTAATTTCATTTGGTGGGCTTCTACTGTTTATTCATATTCATATGTTTAATACTCTTTTTGTGTATATTAATGTCCAAAGGCTGAAGCACTTGATAGAGCTTTTTTAACAACAACTCTTTCTTTCACACGCTCGGCAATAAAGAATTGTTTATGTGTAATTATCGTCTCTCCTTCACACTCCCTCTGACACAGCTGCAATTTAGTTTCCTGGCTTGCTTTCACTTTCGGCATGACTACAAAAAGCTAAATAACGTAATCACAGACTAGTCACCACTAATTTGGATGACCCCCAGATCAAAATGAAGAAGCATGGCAACCTGGTGGAAACTTCGGAAATAAATAAATGAAGTCCATTATCGGTTGAATAGTATTACGTTGCTGGCAGCTACATGTGAATACGCTTGCGACTAATCTCTTCGCGGTCACTTTGATGGTACGCGGATGAGGGAAGTTACGAGTAGAGGGATCGGTGAACTCCCGCCCCGCATATTGCATCAGAAACAAGAATCCAGACTCAACTT